CCCGTATATTAATAATATGCATACTTGTCATATTAATATACCTTTTCTGGAAAAAAAAAACGATTCAATACTACTGTTTTTGCATTCGAATTTTTTGTATTAATATATAAATATTTCACACAAAAACTAATTAGTGTAAAAAAAATTTTTTTAATTTATAAAAAATGGTAAGAAATAGATAAAAAAATTTTCATTTTAATTAAAAGAAAATTATTATATAATACATTTTAAATTTATTTTAGAATTCATCAAAAGGAGTTATCGATATTGGAAGTAATGGTATTCGTTTTGGTTTAGTCTCTTCATTAGATAGACATTTACCAGTACTTTATGAAGAACGTGCACCCATTTCATTATTTGATGCACAACATTCTTCTAAATCCGGGGAAAAATCCAATATATCAGAAAATGTTATACGTGATGTAGAGAATACCATGAAAAGATTTAATTATATGTGTAGAAGCTATGGTGTGGAAATTAAAGATGTCACTATCGTGGCCACCGAAGCAACTCGCACTGCGCCTAATTCTTCAGATTTTCGTGAAAGAATAAAAAAATCATTTCAAGCACCCGTTAAATTATTAGACAAAAAAGAGGAGGCTATAGTTTCTGGCAAAGGAATTGCAGCAACTTATAATGGCGTGGAAGGTTTAGTGATGGATATGGGTGGTGGATCTGTAGAAATAAATTATTTGAAATTTGATCGAAAAACTGCCGAATTCAAAATATCAGATTCACCAATAAATCTTCCTTATGGTGCTGCCGCTTTAACAAAATTATTGACACAAAATAATACTCCTGAGAAACTTACTGAATTATCAAATAATATAGTACAAGATTTAAAAAAAGGGATTGCAAGCTTAGATGCTCCTGAAGATGTCAAAGTTGATGGGAAGTTTACCGTCTATATGAGTGGTGGTGGATTTCGTTCTTTAGGTTATTTATGTATGTCAGAAAGTGGAGCTGAATGTGATTCAGGTAAAAAATATTCTTATTCAATCCCAATAATCAATGGTTTCTATACATCTTCCAAGAAATTGAAAAAAATAATAGAACCACTTACACCATCAAAACAAGTAGAATTTAAAACATCACCAGAATTAATATTTCCTAATGGAAATCCATTTCGTGTCGATAACAGGCGTGCTAGATTAATGCCAGCGTGCTGTTTCTTAATCAATGCTATAATGCAATGCATTGATATAGGTGATATTTATTTTTGTGAAGGTGGCATACGTCAAGGAATATGCTTTCAAATGATGGACAAAGAAATTCAAAAATTAGATCCATTAGAAACCTTTATTGAGAAAACCCCATTACAAACGGACCAGATTAAATATAGAACCCAACATATACTAAATATTTTGAAAGGTTCCATACCAGAGAAATTTGATGAAATACTTGATTCTGATGTCACTGGTAATAATAAACCAGAAAGACTCAAACGTCTTCTTCCTAGTATTATATCACTATCACAATGGTCAATGAACCTTGCAAAAGAAGCACGCCCAATCAACGGTTTTGCCTTACCACTTGCAGGTGGACTACTTTGTAACACTCCTGGACTAACTCATGTTGACAGAGCAATTATATCATGGTGTTTAATGTATAGATATTTTAGTGATGCAAATGAAGGTGAAGATGGTGTAGAAAAAGATATTAGTGTGATGGAACCTGGTTTATTTATAGGTATAAAAAATATGATTCCTGGTGGAGAGAGTGGTAGAAAGGTTTGTGAATTCATTGGAAAATTAGTTGGGTTTATTATTTTGTGTACGCCAGTTGGTAGTTCAGTAACTAATTCCACAAGTTATTCAAAACGACCTAAAACAAAATCAACAAACAAATCCAATTATAATAATAATAATATTTCAGACTTTGATAATCAATTAATTAAATTTAAATTAGAAAAATCAACCTATGAAATAGGAACATCTGAAAATCTTATGACAGAGACTATCAATATAACATTTTTAGATTCTGATAAATTATTCATTGTCAAAAATCCGCTTGTCAAAGAATTCATTGGTTTCATTAATAATTTTAGTTATACATTTGAGTTCAATCCAAAACATCAGGATTCGTCAATTGAAAAATTAACAGTTAACATCAAAATTAATGAAATTCCTGAAAATGACCAGGAAGAAACGGAATCTGGACAACTTTCTGAAAAAGAAGAGGAAAAACCAGAAAAAGAAAAAGAGGGTGTGGAAAAAGATAAAGAAGGGAAAGAAAAAATAGTAATTCCAAATGGAAATAATCAAAAGAAATTCAAGTTTCTCAGAAAACTCACCTTGAAATTAAATATAAAAAAGACCAGATCAAATGAAAAATCAACATCTTCTTCAAAAGAATAAAAAAAAAATTAAAATTTATTTATGACAGACAAGTTGTTTGTTTATTTTACATCATTATTTATTAGAAGGAAAAAAATAAAAAGATATATATCATTGAACTTTACTATCAACGCATAATCCAACTCCGATTACTACAAGTCCCATACCAATCCATGTTTCTTGATAGATTTTTTAATAAAAAAAAATTATATTAATGGTGAATCTTTTTAATATATATATATTAATTATTGAATATATCATCAATTGGAATATTTACCCTTGGATCCAATCTCTTCACCTATTAAGCTTGCAGCCAATGTAGTAAATATAAATGTTAATGAATTTGTTATTGGAATTGCTAATGATAAATCTGATTGTCCAAGTGTATAATAATAAACAATCGAGCCACTTAAATTAAGCAATAAAGGTAAGATATACTAGTAATTTTATAAAAAAAAATTTATTATTATTTATCATATGATGATTTTTATAATTGATTGTTAATTTACCTGCCATCTAGTAAACAAAAAAATAATCTCAAAAACTGTTTGTTTTAACCAATTATCATGTTTAATATTTTCAATTCCTTTGCTTCCTTTTTTAATAAACGGATTTGTGAATCCCCAGCATATTGCAACTTTAATAATAATATCAATGAGGTTAATTATTTTTAAATGTTAAATATTATTGTATTTATTTTAATAATAATAATTTGCACCTTACCTAATAAAAATCCAATTATGTTGTCTATTAATTTAAATATTAAAAAAAATTGTTGATTTATTATTATCATTCATTATTAATAATAAATTATAATTAAAAAATTTTTACTTGCGTGTTATTGAATTATTTTCCATCAAAATTTTTTTGTGTAACGAGAATTTTCTATATTATCTCTTAAACGGTCAGAGTATTCTTAATGGTAACACAAATTAAAGTTTTGATCATTCTTATTGGTCAATTTAACGATCAGCAAAGTAAAAACAGTCAATCGACCAAAACCATAAGGACAACAACTGGATTTTTATTTATAGGTTAATCGGCCGAATCTCAAAGATAATTTTCGTATTAGAAAAGTGATGCCTCAGAAAAAATTTTTTATATCAGAAAAATTTTATCAGCTATCAATAGCCGATTAACCGTTTAGGGGATAGCATAGTGGACATTTGATTTCATTGGCTAAATTTTGTGACGATCTCCCTTCCAGATATCACGCAAAAATTAAATTTTATTGGCTTGAAGATCGTTACGCAAATTTGAACAAAATATTAATATTAATATTAATATCCGGAGGGAATGATAAAAATAAAATGTTTATAATAAATAAAAAAATTAATATAGTATTTCTTTATTGAATGTTTTTAATACATAGGCTTGGTTTTTCATTATACAGTCTAATATATTATTTGCTTTTAACTTTTCATTGACTTCATCAAATCAACATTTTACCTTTGATCATGAATTATCATCCATTATATAATATTGTATATATATCTGAAATTTCCTATAAATAAATAGATTGGTGGCATGAATATTAATACATGAATTTTGAAAATAAAAATAAAAATATAAATGTAAATATGTAAATATAAATATAAATATAAAAAAATATATTTTAAATATGTTTTTTAAATTGTATACACCACTTTATAATTACACCCTGAGTATATCTGTTATTGTTGTTTAAAAATCCTTCTTGTTTTTTAAATGCATCATAAAAAAATCAAGATACAACCTATTATATGATCTTTGTACTATTGGAAAAAGTTGAATATAAGTTATAAGTTAATCAAATATGTATAATAAATACTTATTTCTTTAAAGTATAATAATAATGAGAATATAGAATAAGTCTTTACCTGTAAGTATAATAACAACTTATTAATAAGTAAAATGTTATAATTCATATTTAAAAAAAAAAAATTTAAATAATAATAATAAATAATAATGACACCATTTTGATGGACAAGATCACAGAAGCCTTAAACTTTTACTTCTAAGGTAACTTATTGAAATCAAATTGATCAAATTGATCAAGTTTTACCAAAATATAAAGAAAAGTCAAAGCGATATATTGATATAAAAAAAAATAGATTTTCCATAAAATGGGTTTTGTGCGCAGTCACGCGACTTTTTTCTATTCTAAATTCAATTGAAATAGCAAGTTTCACAATATAAAAAAGATCGACGATCGATTTTGTCACAAGTGATAAAACGAATGTCCACTATGCTGTTGTAACCTCATTAAAAAAAAAAATACTATAACTTTATATATAAGCTTCAGATTAAAGATACACGTTATTGAGTTATCATTAAATAAAAATATGGAGCCCCTTTTAATTCAAATCATATCCTGGGCATTAGAATATTAATTTCTTCCTGTGCTTATATCACTTTTGATTTTATTGTATAGATTGAATAATTATTGTTTCAATAACAAAAAATCTTATTTTTTTAAGAAATGAAAGCATATGTTGTTATTAATCTAAAGCTAATAAGTTGAATTAAATCTTAATTTTTAAAATAAAAAAATCATAAATATTTCATAAATATAAAAAAATATTACAAATGTTACTTACATAAAATGCATAAAAGAATAATTACATAAAGTACAAAAGATCCTTTCACTCAAAATATATTTTTCATAATTTTCATCACCCGCTATTATTTCTGATGTTTAAATTCAAATTTAATATCGGAACTTAAAGATGGTGATAATGACGGGTTTAAAGATGACGAAGAATTCAAATTCAAATTTTCATTTTGATCAACAATGACTTCGATTAATCTACCAATTATGAGAAGTAATTATCGAAGAATCATAATGATAATTGCATGAATCGTTATCGTTATAATTATCGTTATTGTTATTAACATTGTTGTTATAACCATAACAATTCGATTCACAATTTGAATTTGAATGATTGTTGATATTGATAATTAGCTCATGTGGAAAATGTAACGGCAATTGAACGTGATTATTATTTCCATTGTTGTTGTTATTGTATATACTGTAATTATAGGGGCAATCATAATTGTCTCCATTATTATTATTAATGCTGACGTTACTATCATCAATATTGTCATTGTTATAAATGTTAATATTGAAGGATAAGTTGTAGAAATCAAATGGAGAGACCGGGGTTGATAATATAGGAGTCGGTAATGGTGTTAACGGTGTTAATGGTGACAAAGGTGACGATATCGACGGTTCGTAATTGTTATTATCGGCAATAAAATAACTATTATTAATACAAGGAGTATGAGGGATAATGCGATGATTATTAATATTATCATTAGTATTAATATACCCAGGATCGTCAGCATCACCAGTGGAAGGAATAATATTAAGAATATTATTATCATGAGAAGAGGACAATTGAGGAAGTAGGCTCTTAATAAAAGTATCTGCAGCAGGTGCAGGTGTAAGTGTAGCAGTAGTTGTGGCTGCGGTTGCAATAGGTTTAGCAACAATAGTTGTAGTAGAAGTTGATTTATCAATATGAACTTTATTGATTTTTAATTTCTTTTTTTTCTTTTCTTTTCTATTATTATCAGTTTGTTTATCAATAGCGACAGTAGAAGCAGAGGCCCGAGAATTCGAAGATTTTTTAGGGATGAACACGTAACCAGGATGAGCTTGGCTATGTTCCATTTTTTTACGGTCTGCCAATCTTTGCCAATACATTTTAATATCATCTTTTTCATTTCTCCACATTTTTGCCAAGATCTTTGAAATTTTTGAATTAGTAATGTTACCATAATGTGCAGTAATTTCTGGTTGTTTTTCACGTCTGTAAAGAATAAACGCATTTGGAGGCCTTGGTGTTTTCCTTAAAGAAGGTCGCATTTGTAATTCAGTTTCATCAATGATAAATTGACCTTTGACGTTATTGTCGACAGTAAATTTTGAAGAATATGATGATGACGATGGTGATGATGATGATTTATTAGATCTGATTGGCAATTGTGGTCTTACTCTAATCGGTTCCATGAAAGAAGTGAAGACAAAATTATCTTGTGCTCTAATACAACTATTTTCAAGAGAAGTTGTACAATCGATCATCAAAGAATTGTTACATTGTACGTCGTTGTTTCTTTTAAGATTCTGAGGTGGAATATCGAACATAAGTAAACCACAATATTGTCTTCTCGCAGCCTCATCCATTTTTGTTTTATCAAAATAGATTTATGACGAAACGGTAGGTAATTTAGAAGAGAGTGAATGATTAGGTTTTTTATACAAGAAAAAAAAAAAAAAAAGGGTCAAGTTGAAAAAAAGAATGAATAAGATTTTTTAAAAAAAAAAATTTAAATTAAAAAAAAAATCAATAAAAAATATAAATAAATAAATAAATAATATTAAAAAAACCAAAAAATTTTGTATGAAATCCACAGGCCTAAACTTTTATAATCGAGAATAGTCAAAGTATTTATAAATTTGATTGATTGATAACGAGAACAATCTAGACTCACACAAATCAGTCAGCGTAATTTGAGATGGGAACTAATCCAAAAAGATTAAGAAAAAAAATGCGCCAGCACAACATAAGATGCTGATAAATGTGATAGTGGTGGTAGTAGTAATAGTAGTGGTAGTGGTAGTAGTGGTAGTAGTGGTAGTAGTAGTAGTAGTAGTAGTAGTAGTAGTAGTAGTAATAAAAGACGTTGAGCCAAAAAAAATTCCTCGCGTGTTATATCTTACGCCAACTTTCAGATAGCAACGTACGAGCGAATGGATAAGCGAATTGATAGTTTGAATGAATGAATACCAAAAGAAAAATTATCCTAATTGACACCGGTCGTTAACATTTGTGATTGTGATGTACACTTGCTTAGGATTTGGTATGTTCTGAATACCAGGAAATTGAGACTATCCAATATGAACAAACAAGCAGTTGATTGTATGGCATCATTTATAAAAAATAGAAGTTTAGATTTAAACATAGCAATTTGATTGGATTCCATTACAAGTAAGAATGCAAGTTATTTCATAATCAGTTAGTTGATATCATTTTCTCACACGCACCTTTTGATTACGCCATAATTTCATTGCATTCATATCCATTTTTAAATTATTTTACCATTCTATTAATATTCTTAATTTCTTAGATCGTAAAACCGCGTTGGTTAGCGTCAATTAAATTGATCCAACAATAAACAAAGATTCACGCGTCAATATAACAATAATTAATATTTTATTAATTAACTTGCAAGCAATTATTTATTTATATCCGAATTTATCAATTCACAAATATTCCACTCTAATTTTTTTATATTTTTGGATAATGTTCCAAAAATCACCAATTTTAATTTAATTGCGGTAATTACACCTGATTCGTATGACACAGAATAACGGTTATTGGAAAATAAATTATCACCTTTATTGTTATTCGTCAACACATAACAATAACTTGTTTTGAATATTTTTGGAAATTGAATGTTATAAATCAATTGAAATTCTAAATTTAGAATGTTATTGCAGCGACTTTGATTGATAATCTCCAATGCAGTATATAAAATAGTGGACACCAGTCGCTTTTTTTAGTTTCATCCAATCACATTGGTTCATTTCTGGTTTCTTTCTCCCTTCATCTCTTTTAATATGTATATCATAAATCTTAATCAGAATGAAGCTAATAAAATCTGCAATTCACAATTCATTTATTATCCTTCTTGATTCTATTAATCCGCTAGTTAGTTCAATTTCCATTTCCAACTTATTACTTTTTCCCACTATGTATATATATATATATTAACATTTATTGTATTGTTCTCCTTAATATTTTTGTAATGTGTGTGGATTGCACAACAATTATACATACATGATAAATAAAACACTTTTCTTGTGAATGGTCTTCCATAATTAGAACAATTGAAACAAGTTTTGTAAGATAAATAAAGTTACTTGTATGTTCGAGAGCGTGAAATTTAAATTAGCCGATCAAAGTTTGCATCCCAAATCCACAGAAAAATTTTAATGTTCGTCAAAATTTTTTTTTGTAGAGGACAAAGGAAAATCACTTCCAAATTTGCTCAAAAATATGGTATATACAACAACATTTAAAAATCCAAAAAAAAAAAAAAAGGTTCGAGACAAATTTTTTCTTGAATAAAACCCATCTAAATCCAACATGCGGAACACATGTATTATGATCTCGCTACAGAATATTTGATCGAGCAAAACAAGCTAAATGAATGTTTAAATAATCCTTTATTTTTGTTACCATAATCAATTATATTCATCGTAGTATACGCCATTTGCTTAATAGATACAAGAGTTTGTATAAAACCATCATCAATCCACGCATTGGTCTTATTGAAATTTTCCTTCTTTGAATTTAACTTTAGTAATAATCAAACTTCTTACAGAGACAATAATAACGACTTTTTATTTATTTAAAAATAAAAAACAATATTAATTCTCTATTACGTGACTTTGGGCGGGCGATTATTCCTGCACAACAGTGTGTGTTACATTTTATGCAGATTTATTAAATTAATTAGTATTGTTTCTGAAATATTAAGATTAAAGAATTGTTACGCGACCATTAAAAAACCTATTTTTAATGATTTTAAAAGAGCTGTGACTCAGCCCAGTCAGTGTTGGTCGCCAATATGGATGGGCGCCTGAATTGTTTTTAAAGTTAAAATAGTATTTAGACAAGAATGTCTAAATGTCTAAATTAATATAAATAGTAATGATTTGCTTTAAATAGAACTAAAAGTCACGTGTATATACACAAAATCCACAAAGTTCAATAAATTATCCAATAAAAAAATTCAATTTCAGCATTTTAGACAATTGAGACCATGATCGTCTAAATGTCTAAATTAATTTATATTTTAGACATTATCTAAATAATTTAGTTTAGACACCCATCTATAGCCACCAACACTGTTTTGAAGAGGCAAAAGTCAAAGCTAAAATTAAAAGTTATATGTCAAAACTAAATCAAAAAGTCAATAGTCAAAAATCAAAACTAGTTTCAACTTATGGAGAACCCTTTTAACTTTCGCAAGATTGTGGGCTCTCTAGTTTTGGAAACCAACATTGACTCAGCCATAAAAAATAGTGGAATAATAAAAACAAAGAAAAAGCAAATTTGGGTTAACATAGTAAACTTGTGCAACTTTGAGGCCAAAGTAACATGACACACCAACAAAATGAAATTGTAACTTTGTAGAGAAAGGTCTTAGTCTCAAAATTACAATCTGTTTTTTTTTGGTTTTACATTTCTATTATATTGTAAATTCAGTATTAGTATAATTTTTTTTTGAAAATGTCTACATTAGATCCAATTCAACTCAAAATCATTCAAGTTTTATCATATACTGAAATTTTTACTTGTTCAGAATAAGGTTGCTTGCTGAAACTCTAATAAACAATTAGCGTGTAACCTGCCAAAACTCTGCTAATTGTTGAAATCCCTAAATGCGAAATTCTGCCAAATCTCTAACAAACAATTAGTGTGTTACCTGCTGAAACTCTGACTATTGGTTTCCAGAGGAGTTTTGGCAAGCAACCATAGTTCAGAATCAAACTCTGATAGCACCAATAATTTACCTGTTGTGATGTATGGAATCATTTTAAAAAAAAATTGAAGATCCAAGGACTATGGAAATTAAATCTTTCAAATGTAATTCATATAAATCTTCTTGTCCAACCTCTTTAATTTATTCAAAGATAAACAACACTCACCTTCTACCAATTTCGACCTTATAACAAAGCTGAATCCATGTATATTATACAATATGTGCTGTAAATTTCAAGTGATCAATTTCGTCAATTTGTTGCAGGGATTAAATCCTCAATATATAATTCCAACAATTAAAGATATGAATTTATTCTGGAAACGAGTGTAAATTCAAAGGAGAAGATTAAAGAGCTAGAAAAAGAATCGGAAGAGAAGGAATTATTGGTTAATTGGTTGAAAAAAAGTTGAATGTCACCTTGAAGCCTTAGAAGTAGCTCAAGAATGAAGTAAAAACTGAAAACTTAAGTTAGAGAAAGTCAAGAATCAGAAAATACAAGATATTCTCTTACAAGGTAAGGAGAATGAATTGTAAGCAATTCAGCAAGAGATGAACTAATTATGCTGTCTGTAAATCGGGATTTACAGAAGCTGTATCCAGCAACTGAGTTGCCATACTATTTGCAACCAAGTGCCAAAATCTGTAACTCTCTGTAATATGTAAATGTGTCTGTAATTCAGTAATTCAGTAATTCAGTAATTGTAAAACTGTAATACTGCAAATTTATATTGTGAGGTAGTAAATCTTTGACCTACCAATTGTCCCGGTTAATATTGACCAATTAGAACAAACTTATAACGGTAGTCATGTGATGCGCTAAATATTACATCACAATCAATGACATCTTTCTATACATGTGGGTGTAAATTGGTCATTAATTTTCATTTTTGTGATATAATAGGAAGATCTGCAACATCTAGTAAAATTTTCTTTCCCTCTATTCAAAAAATTCAAGTCACTTGATATTAATTTAAAATCAAAAATTCTTTTAAAGGTGTAGCATTAAAGTTATAAAATCCATATTGTTCTTTTAAAATGTTAAAATATTGCTTCTTAAATATCTAATCATATGCAGAATAATAATATATTCACTCATTCTGTTTGTGATCTTATAATTAATATAGAAATATAACAAATTTCAGCATAAAAATAGATCCTCAATTTACCTTTAGTTATATATATAATTAACAAACTAATAATAATTTCATATACTTCATGACCAAATCATACAATATTTTTTCCATGATGGGTTCAAGAACGTCTGCATGTACCACATCTTTTTTTCCATGCAGGCAAAGCCATGTGTGTATTGTTCTGCAGTTTTGAAATTCATCATGTTTGAAGGAATTCTCCAATTTTTTTTTTAGGAACAAAATCTATTTAATCAATTTAATGCTAACCAAAATGCAAATATTAATTATCTATAAAATCCCAAATGATATAATTCTTTGTCTGCTCATCCTATTTTGTTTGTTGAAATAGAGTTGAAATAAGTTGAAACTGATTTTTACTATGTAGTTGTCTCAAGTCAAAACATTTTGACTTTGAGGTTTTAATTTCAACTTCATGTATAACTATATAGTTGAATAATAGAGAAATACTCATTTCATGTTAGAAAAAATATATATAATAATAAATTTCAGCATTAAAAGAATTATTAATTTACCTTTAAATTTAGTTACCCAATTTATATAATTAATATTAACATACCATATACAGTCAAAGCTCTCTATAATCATCCGGAAAATATAAAAAAATTTAATAATAGAAAAGTGTAAAACTTACGTCGGCACTGTAAGATTTACACAATATTACGTCGGCATCGTAAGATTTATGCAAGTTTACGCTAAATTAATTTCCTGATGATGAACCCCCCCCCCCCGGACTGAAAATTTGGTTTGTTATAGAGAGCATTCACTATAAAGAATTGTCAATCATCTCATTTATAGTCACGTGAACATATTATGAATAATTTATTGGCTATGAGTCATTAAGTTTCATATTCATTCATAAATAGGGCATACTGCAACAAAACCAGACAAAGCGAACATTGGTGTTGCCAAAGATTTCAGGGATCAAATTTAGTCATTTATAATGTGATTATAATTATCAATTTCATAATATTCCATTTGTTATCTTAAGTGATATATAGAATTACCTCTATATAAAAATAGTTAATGTGAATCTCATTTATATCAGATCTACTTTGGAACCAAGAATTATAGTACAATCAGAAGTATTTTGAAGAAAGAACAAGGTGAAAAAATAGCTCCTTATGTTTTCAAAATAAATGTCACTGGAAGCTTATCTAAAAAAAAGGGATTACCTATGAAATTTACCAAGAAGAAAGAAAAATAATAAATGTTAAAAAAGAAAGCATCATGATGATGCATTATTACCTAATAAAGAGCAAAAATCTTTGAAAAGAAAATAACTAACATTTTCTTTGATAGTTGGAATAAATTTCAATTTATAAGAGGAAGGCATTTCCTCAATTCTTTTTAAATTACTTTTTTATTTCAATCAAGATCATCTTTTAGTCTCTTTGACTTCAATTTGTTTTCTTTATTTTCTTCACTAATAAAAAAAAAAGTTTATAATTAACTAGAGTGACAACAAGTGGCAACAATTGCAATAACCACCAATCTTTATATATAAACTAGAGTGATGACAAGTGGTGGCAATAACCACCACCATTGTTAAAACACTTACCCATGTTGCTCTTTCCCATCTTCTTGATTTCTCTTTCTTGATTCTTTATGTGTCATTTTGTTATTAAAAGAATCATGTAAACAAAATTAAAAAAACAATAATTAACATGTTATTATTATTGACACTTGGTGTTGTACAAAGATTTTTTTTTGGAACATATGCGAACTGATTTTTCTTTTCTTGGAAAAACAATCTAAGGTGACAAAACATGAGCATTGTTGTTTGGTTTGGTTTGGGTCTCCTAAAGAAAATGTGTTGATAACTACCCTGAGGTACTTTTTTTTATTTGTATTGATATTTTTATTTTAGTTTATAAATATTTTAATTGGAATCAAAATGCAGAGCAGATCTTGCTGGGCAATTATAAGATTCTTATCAAGATGATAATAAATGATTGGTATTTTGCTTTGCATAATTGTAATAATAATATTATTATTAATATATAATTACAAGAAGATGCCAAGGCAATATACAATTTAAAAAGAAACAATTCAAATGTGCAATGTTTGATTATTGGAAATTTTATAGATGCTAAAGCACACACACCACCTTAGGGATGGGGCAGTTTAAAAAACCCAGTTCAAACTTGATTTTTGAACCAGTTTTTGGTTTAGGTTTTAAACTGGTTCGAATCAGTTTTTTGTGAAACTAAAATCTCTACGTTTATTGGCCAGGTTATTATATCACGTGAAAATGTAATACGAAATATTATTATTATTATTATTATTATTATATTGATTTTAATTTGACGTCAAGTTGCTCCAAACAAATACTATTCTATGGTAAAACAGGGGGAGTTGTGCATTGTAAATAATTTAAATTTTTTTTATATGTATTACATATTTCTAATCAATTTTAAATTAATAAATGTCACAACAAGATTATGTTAAAAAAAAAAAAAATTATACTGATTTTAATTATTATGTTGAAGATGTAAAAGGATAGCTATCCTTTTTATATTAGTTGAAAATGATAAACAAGATGAGTAGGTGCCATGATTATACATGAGATGGTAATTATTTTGCCAAAAATCAATTACAAATGACGAAATTAAAGGACATCTCGTTATACTAGTATAATGACATAATTTGTCAACTTTTTATAATTTATTCTGTTATAATGTGAGATCAAAATTCCGCATCTCACACAAATCTCTTGGATTTAGTTATAATATTATTTATCCCTTCCTATGGCAGTATCCAGTTGTGTAATTCTTTGATTACTTTCTTTTCTGTATAGCGCTCAAGCTATTTAACTCTTTGCAGGGCAAGTTTTCTTACTTCCCGTCTGGTAATGTTTTCTCAGCAGTTGCTATGTTTTCTGCCTGAGCCGGAACATGTCAATTATTATCCCTTCTGATAATAATCCCAGTATCTTCCTTGATACCGTTGTGTTATGTTTTAATGGTTCAGTGTTTCTTTACTGACCACACCTAGCTAGGGTTTTCACTTATTTAGGCGTTGGCCTAATCTAAAATAAAAATAAAGAAAATAAGATTAAAGAAATATATACAACTATACTTATCAAAGGCATCCCCCTGGTAAGATAGTAATTAATTATTAACTACGAAAATGTAATTTTCGAAGATAACAAGGACAAGGACAAGGACAAGGACAAGGTTTATTTATAATAATATTTGAGTTTACTAAAAAAAACTAATAAAAACTAATAAACTAATAATTACATGAAAGAGAAATTTACAACGTATTTATACATTTTAGAGGTTCTATCATCTAGTTCTCCGATTTCTTTAAAA